CCTGCCCACAGTTCATTTTACCTGAGTTTCTTTGTATGAGGTTGTTTGCTCCAGGTTACCTTCTCCTCCATCCAGCGCCTTCTGCGCGATCCAAAAAGTTGGATAACAACTTAGTGGTTCTCTCTCTGTCAAAGCCATTTACATAGAGAGTGAAAAAGTATCGATCTCCAATACCAGTCCCTGTGGTTCTCCAATCATCATCCCCCTTTTCTCCCTTGGTCCGTAACCTTCCCCCATTCTAATCTGCCCTCGATCATCTCACCAGCTCCTTTCTCCGTATGAAAACGGGCCCTTCCCTGCTTCACCAGCAGCTGTGTGCATTAGGCTCCCGTGTGACGCTGTGTGAAATGCCCCTGGGAAATACAGCTTGATTATATACACAATTTCACACCTGTCCACTCTCAAAAAAACCTCATGAAAACTCCAGCAGATTTGTAGAATAAGAATTACCTTTTATAAAAATCAGCTCACATCTACAGTATATTTTATAACGCTACTTATAACCCATATAAAATTCGAGAATCGAGAATTAAGGCTCTTGAAAGATTAAATTTAAACAACCCAAGGTCAGAAACCAAGAAGTCGAAAACCTGACTTTATCACCTGCTCCCCCGTCCTGTTGTGCTTGCATCTAACAGCAGAACTTGGCTTTTGCCAGTCTTTGTTGCATGATACTTTACACAGTGTACAAGGCACTGGTTAAAAAAAAGTACTTTTTCATTCAGTGCATGACAGATATCAAGCCCAGGATTGTAACATAAGATCTCTCAGCTGTGATCACTAAAATTTAGTCTAAAATATGCATGCAGAATGGCTGCAGTCCTGACTCCTGCAGTGTACACAACTCATCAGATCTCAAAAGCTAAACAACACTCATGGGAACCTGAGAGAACATCCTAAACTCAAAGTATGTCAGTGGAAAATATGTGGAGAAACCCTGATTCCTGCAGTGCTGGCTGAAGGGAACTTCTAAAATAGTTTTGCAAAACACAATGCATTGAAATTGCTTCTGGGAGCAGGCAGAGTGCAATTAGCTGAGTGGTGTGGAAATGGTAGGCAAGGAGCACTTGGTTAACATCTTTGCTAATAATTAGAGTGGGCTTGTGTACCAAGCAGCGTGCTTCTGCTCCACTCACATGCAGGACTGCCTGAGTCTCCTTATCTCCTCCTTCCCCACATGGAATGGGGCACTGAGCAGGAGTGTTCAGTTTGATGGACTGGAGGAAGAACTGCAGGCAGGAGGACTTCTGAAGGGCCTGCTTATAGCCACAACTACAACCAAGCAATCTGATAACTTCTGCCTCCGATATGCCTTACCCATCCTGTCTCACCTGTATGTAGCAGATGAATGCCTCATTATCAGATTCCCCTGCTTGCTTCTCGGTAGACTTAAATTACCATGTTAAATAGGATAATAATAAACACTGGCCTTTAACTACAGCACGTCCTTGTTCACTCAGCATCCTACCTCTAATCTGATAACGGGTATGCAAAAGGCTACAAGGGAAGAGAGAGGTGGTTATCACATGTGCCTTTACTTGCTTCCTGGAGAGAGATTCCTGCATGAGCAGGCTCAGCCTCATGCTTTGTGGGTCCTTGAGCCCTGCAAGAATTAACTGGTATGGAAATAGGGGCAAGGTACAAAAACGATGTTGCAGATCTGACCCAAGACTCTTTTGCTACATCTCAGAGAGCATAAGCAGCCCTGTGCCATCTGTCTGCTTCAGTACTCCAACTCTGAAACAAAAGCAGTGAGAGAAATATTTCCATCTTACTGTTCCATGAGAACAGTGGGGAAGTGGAGAAGCCTTGGTGGTGCTGGATGCTACCTTCACATTGAGCTCACTGCATTAGAGGTGGAAATATGTATTACTGGAGCTCTTTTTAACAACTGGCCTGAAAAAGTCACCTATCCACCCAGAATAAATTATATAAAGGAGGTAAGATGGACTGGGAGCAGAGACAGCTGATCTGCTGAGACTTTCAATCCCCTTAGCCCTCAGAAGCTGAAAGTGCCATTTAATTCAGTGCTACAGGATTTCCTGAACAATTATTTTATTCTGTATGTGTGTGAATAGTGTTTGCCTAATCCCCTGGATTTCTCTTGTTGCAGAAAGAGGAAGAAGTCTTACAAAACAACAGGGGATAAACACACGAAGTCAAATTACTTTGCTGAGCTCTTTTGCGCATCTGAAAAGAACCAGAGGGCTGCAAACTCTGGACAGTACGAGGAGTTTCCTACTTAAGGAGGATATTCCAGCTATCACCCACTGAAATGCAGCCATTCCTGTGGTATAAGACCAAATTAACAAAGCTGCACAGAAGCAGCATTTCAGTGGAAGTAATATGTTTTTTCTCTATTTTTCCCAATTCCATCAAACTTGGCTTCCCACCTCTTTTCCTTCAGCTTCAGCTTTTCAGAGCTGGCAAGGAATACAAGAAGTAGGAAAGCAATGAACTAGGCCGTCTGTCGTTTGAGGGTATGAAAGGCAGTCTTAATAACAGCAGGAGAGAGAGAAGCAGCCGATGGTTATTTTTGACAGAACTGGGAGACACTCGGATTGCTGCTTCATAAACAGCTCATCAGAGGAAAAGTCTGTGCAAATGGCAGAAGCCCCTTTGGCCGCACTAACAACACAAAGCCCTCATCTGGTATAAGAAAAATCTTTCAAAAATCAAAATTTTTTCTTTCTTCAAAGAGCCAAGCCCCTACCCCAAATGTGTAGTAACACTAAGTTGCCTTTTCATCATTGCAATTCATGTTATTAAGTACCAATTACATGGCACAGGCAAAGCATTTCTCATGCACTGTGATGAGAACAAGACTATCAGATATTTTTCAGGGTGATTTTTTTTTTTTTTTTTTTTTTTGTAACAGGTCCTTAGTCTCTCACACAGAATCCTTTGTGCATCTGGATGAAGAAAATAAAGATCATTCCTGTTCAAAAGATACCCACATGAAACTCAAGAGGTTTCTATATCTGGCAGCTTTGCTGGCAGCCTCAGCCAGGAGGCAGCACGGAGATAGGCTGCTCCACAGCTTCCAAGGGAAAAGCTGACCATCGGAGGACCTCACTGCTGTGTCAGGGAAATATAAGTCCGAAGGTAATTCTGTCTTTTTGGGGGATTAATTTCATTTACTCTTAAAACATTAATGCCTGAAGTAACATAAAAGCATCATGTCTGAGTGGCTGAAAAGAGTCCTAGCAAAACAACAACAAAATACTTTTCAAAGAGAATACTGAATATGGGGACTACAAGGCTTCATAATTAGTCTACAATGATTTGCATGACCTGTGCTTAATGCTTATGCCTTCCAGCTGCCTGATGGACAGGTACGTATAATGGAAAACACTACAGAAATGGGAATCAATGACTTTCCTCTGTCTAACCACAATATCATTCTCACTTCATTTGCTGCTTTAGTGGGAAGGCATTTCTGTGGCCCAGGAATCAGCTCTTCCTAAATGGCCAAGTCTCAAAGTTCAGTATTTTAGTGGTTTAAACTAAGTAGAAGTTTGCTCATCCATAGCAGCCTGGACTGCTGAAAATCCAGTTGCCTGACCTCTTAATGCTGCCTTCTATCCAGTGTTACAAGGAAAAGACACTTGGTGAGGGCACCGGGCTAACAGAGCAGGGGGCTGCATGCTCAGCTGCATCACTTCTAGGGAACGGAGGGGGTAGAAGCAAAACTGAAACACTGCAATAACAAATACCTTCTGCAGTACTGGTGGAAGACAACAATCTAATACAGGACTTGATAAGCAGCAGGATACCCCTATGAGCCCTTTACCTGATGTCACCGTGATTCTGAGACAAAATACCTGTTCTTTTAACCAGAAACGACACATCAAAAGATATCACTCAAAGCACAAGACTGCTTAAATTGGGACAGCAAAGAGGAGGAAATGCTGAGCCTGGACAGCGCTGCGCACAAAGCATGAGAGCACCCGGAATTGTGCTGTGTGCTGCACGTGACAGCCATCACCTCTCACTGAACTGGAAATCTCAAGGGTGCTGCTTTGCACCGTTAGCTAGCTGCTAGCCCACAGAATCACTCTGCAAGATTTCCCCATAAAGGATTTTAAATGCAGTGCTGGGAGAGGACTAAAAACGAGTAACTATCGAGTCATTTCACAACCAAGCACAAATGCCTCTGAGTGGTGCCAATTATTTGCAATGCCAGCAACAATTTAATATATGAAACTCGACAATCTCAAACTGTAAGTGAAAATACACAGAGAAAAAAACACATTCTGTGAGACAAAACATTCACTTTAAGGCTACACATAAGACTATGTTATAATTATATAATACACAGAATTGTCACATGTCTAAATATGCACAGACATACAGCTAAAGAAAGCTAAAGAAAGCAATACCGTTAAGGACAAATGCTTTGTATGTGGCAGAAAAATTGCAGAAAGAAAAAAACCATCCTCTTCTTTTAGAAAAATACCATCGCCAAAAATCAATCCTTTAGCATGACCACAAAAATAAGAAATCAGATTTTTGAGAAAGGGCAGGGCAATTCTATTTTTTAATTATTATTGCCTCTGGAGCAATGACGTAGCAAGAGCCCACTGCTATTCTTTCTCTCCTTCTGTATCCTGAAAATCATTCCCACCTGGGGTGCAAAGAGAGGAAACAAAAGGAAGTAGAAAATTATATTTTTCATGAGCTAATCCTGGGAAAGTGACCGCTCAGGTTTCCATGTCTCTTGGCAATAATAATTTAAACAAGGATGGCAATCTTTTGTTATTTTTTGCACAGTTGGAATGCTCGCTTCCAGATAACAGACATTTAAACTGCAATTTAAGAAGAAGAGGAAGACAGCAATCGATAGGTATTCAGGAGTTCTCTCCTCTTAGGAATGCTGCATAGCTCAACACAGTATGGTTCAAAACAGACAGCCCAGATGCAAGCCTCTTTGGAAATTCTAAAGGCAAGCAAGATCACTGAAAAAATCCCTGAAAGCAAACAGAGTACAACTACTGTACCTTTACTTTGGGGAGGGTTCTGACTTCTGTCTCGGAGAACATTAATCTGGTAGACAGCTCCGTAAGGCTCAAAAAGTTCTTTTAACTCTTTTTCCGACCATGAACGGGGAATCTGTCCAACAAACATCTTAATGGCATCTGGGTCTGGTTGGTCTGAATGATCCAAAGCTCCATTCATCTTGTTAGCTGTGCCGTTACTAGAAAGTGGAAGAAGAGATGAAAAAGAAAAGGCAAGTTAGGAGACTACGCAGTTTTCATGTGCACTAGATGCAGAAGATGATGTCAATTGGCACAGAGCAGGAAAAAAAATCGGTATTTAATTAATAGCATAAGTATTATGTACAAAAAACAATGAGATTACATTTTTCATTGAGTCTGGTTTTCTCTGCAGGCTGCTGCTTAATGTCATTATATAAGAAGAGAGCTGCACCACGCAAGCCAGTACTTTTGCATTTTAAAGCAGAGGAGAGTGGCAAGTAAGTACAGATTTCTCTCCATGGCCGTTGTAAACAGAACTGCTGCGAATTCTCACTGAACTGGCTACTGGCAGAAATAAGGCAGTGCTGGGGTGTGTGTGTGTGTGTGTGTTTTGTAATAAAGTCACATGAAAGGAATATGAAACACTTGGCAATCTGTCAGATGACTAATGCAAGATGCCAGCGATGAATTTGCAGATTGTGTGAAGCATCCATGTGTGCATCAAATTAGTATGATATTGCCTAGAATGGAAAACACTCCAGCTATGCGGCTGGTTGCTGCCGATTAGTTGCCTACGCTCTTTAAAAAGGAAAAGCAGTCTGGAGAGTGCCAGTCTAAAGCACATTGTTTATGGCAGCCTGGCACACAAAAATGCACCATTCAAAAGGAGAAAGCAGTGGTAAAATTGCTCAGAAAATTAAAATGCTGCTTCAGAAAGTTTTTCTCCATGCAGAGGACGTGAAGCGTTTGAAATTTTTCACACCCTGTAAATTGTTCCCCTATCTGATCTCCAGATGTACAGCTAACTTCAAAACAACTACACACTTCTGCTGGGGAAAAGAACTTAGCAACCAAAAAAAAAAAACCCCCTGCTCTCTGAGTCATGTGACGCATTGCGATTTAGGAGGAGAACATCCTTGTGAAGAAAACAAAGAATTTTAAATTCTAAATGAAAGTAAAAATAAACCCCCCAACTCTTCTGCTTCTACTGATAATCAAGGATGATAATTTTGATTTGGCTGGAGATTCTGTAAGTGATATGAGATTCGGATGCTTGAATTTCAAGGAGGAACACCAGTGAGATGTGACTTTCAGTGCACTCCTCCCATCCTCCCACTGGGGGTACTGAGGAGAAGGCACGCATTCAGCAGTGCTGAGAGTTCATCATCCCAACCTTCACACATCTCAGAGCCACCTGCCACTACTGAAAAACTTGGCTTCAATGACACGTTCTCCATTTGACAGTTGTTCAAGAGAAAATGACCACAGGAAGGCTTGGAGAGATCTGTACAAGCGGACCAAAATCATTTCACGTGTGAAAAAAGAAAAGCCAAGAATGGTAAAGAAGAAACAGCATTGTGTCATACCCCTGCATCACAGCTGGACAAATTATTTAATCCTCTGTGCTCCATCTGCCTGGAAGTGCAAGGCACCCGAACACGTTAATACACCCTTAGTAACTTCTGCACTTGCCCTGCTTACTGCAGGAAGGAGAAAATTATATTACAGGTAGACTGTAAACCAACAAGAAGAAGCTGCATTGTCACTTGTGAAGTGCTTTTAACACGGATCAGCAGGCAATAGGATTTATCACATTCATTTATTAGACAAAATTCCCACTGATCCTAGTGGGAGTCTTGCCTGAATAACAGACTGAAGGATTTGGCCCAGCCTTTTCTATCGTGTTTCATGCACAAATGCCCTCTCTTGTTTTACAGATGCTCTTTGAGGCTTCTCTGCAGGTCCCAAGAACACCAACGCAGCCATTGTGATTTCTCCATTAAGAGCTGTGTTTTCTACACAGACCTAATATTAGACACCTCCGTCAATACCCTAAACAATCCCCACCTCAGACTCTAGGAAACAAAAAACTCCTGACTCTTTCCAATGATACACAATGGGATCAACTTCCAAGGCTGCCATGGAGTGCTGAGCACCCACACAACGTGCAGAGCTCTGGAAAAACACATTCTGCTTCATTTCAGAATGAAATCATTTCTTCAGATTTCCTATTTGTCTATGCAATGCTTAAAACAACCTCCCTAGAAGGAAGAAAAAAATAAATCCCTGACCTATAGCTTAAAATAGTGGAGGAAAATATTCCCACACTATTTTGTACCTGCAAAGAAAGAAAAGGCAGCAGCTGCGCCCTGCAGCTTTGTGCTGTGCTCAGGTGACTGTTCCTTCAGAAATCTGCTTCGCTTTTCACTTCATTTGTTCTCCGCTTTGTTTACATTAAAAAATGAGTCGAGTTCCTTTTTAAATTATGCCCTTCATCCATTCTCTCTGTTGGATCTCTTCTTTAAGAAATCCACACGTAATTACTGTGTTAGCCCCAAATTACAGCAGAGGTCGTATTTAATAAAGAATAAGTTTATTCCTTTGCTTTTTCCTTTACCCAAACCACCTTTACCACCGAGAGCACTACTACAATTTCCATTGCTAACAAGACAATTTGGAGGAAACCACAAAACCTAACACTTCTAACTGTTTATTCAGGTTAATTGCTCCATTACCATCAAGTTCCTGCTTTCAGCTAAAGGTGCAGGCACAGGCAAAGATCTCTTCTAATTCAACACAGTGCTTACACACTTTCTTTACTTTGGCGGGGCTGAAGAGCAATTACATTGATCATATTCCTTAAATGCTTTATTGGATAAAGATGGTTGAACGCTCTGACTGCAGGTGTAGGCTACAGTATGCTGTGACACAATGCTCCAGGGGACAGGTTTTGTCACTCGCTGCCTGAATTAACTTGGGCAAGTCATTAAAACTTCTCCGGATTTAATTCCACCATCCTCTGACAGCTCTGCCAGTCTGCTAACTGTTGCAGATTTAGGGAAAAAAAAACCCACAAGCATAACTTCAAGATTTTTCATTATAATTCTTTCCTACCAGAGGGTTGGAGTTGTACTCAGCTGCCAACATTTTGGAAATGGGGACAGGCAAGTTGAGCCTAGAGGGAGGGCAGTGAGCTCTGCCAGCATAGTCAGGCTCCTCATTAAGTTACGTTTGACTTCAGTGCAAATGAATGCTACTGAGGGTTCTGGAAGAACGGTTCCCCACCTCTGCTGGGGTTTTAAGGAGGGCATCAGCACTTGCAGAAGCATCCTCACCCACAGTTGACAGTAGGTAGAGGACTACAGCCAACTCTCATGAACTGAACAAGTAGATAATAGGGAGATAACAAAGAAAAAAAAACCATCCAGCAAAACGGAACAGTTTTATACAGTCTATGGATTAAATCCTTCCCACATACTTGAATCATGCACTTAGGAACAGTAAGTATGAAGCACACCTGACTGAGAGTTCAGCTCTCACTGAGCTTGTTCAGGTGAATGCAAAATCCAATCACACATTTTTGACCCCCTCACAAACTCTCTCTGCTAGAGATGAGTTCCCTTCTTCTCTCCCAGTCTCCACCATTCTGGCAGGAGCTGCTCTGGACAAAGACCCAGTAGTGGCCAACAACCAGATAGTTTTTTGTCACTGTTCCCTGCCACACTCACTCCCAGAGGCAGCCGTTCCTTCCTGCCCCCACCTTCCTCACCCACTTTACCCAGGAAAAAGACTCACAGATCCATAGAATATTCTATTAGAAATATCCCAATATCCCATGAGCCCTCCCCTCAGTCTCCTTTTGAGGCCAAACAAACCAAGGGACTGCAACTACACATCACACGCCTTGTCCTCTAGGCCCTTCACCATCTCCACAGCCCTCCTTTGGACACTGTTTAATAACAACACAAAAAAGAAATCACGCATTAAACTCTTCAAGAGATTTCAAGCAATTTTTGTGAAAGCTTAGGACCATTTCTTGCAAGCATGAGTGTAGAGATAGCTGTGGCTAGGAGACACTACTAAGAAGAGAATCCCTTGACAATTACTGTCAGTATCCAAATGATGACATACATAAAGAAAGAGAAGAATTAGATTATGTGGCTTGCTGTCTCTACACCGCAGCAACCCTTCCCTCTGCGGCCAATTTAGCCCATTGGACTCTGGGATGACCCAGCACATCATCTTTGCTGACAAGGTGTCATCTGTATCGGAGAGAGCAGCCTGAGGGCAGAGATTAAGCCACCGAGTTGCTGGCTGCTTGTGGTCGCTGCCAGAGCATCGTCTCTCTCAATTTGTGCCAATTTTCTTTCTAATAACCTAACTACCATTCCATCATTTCAGCAAGTTGACAGGGCCACTCTTGAGGAGCTAGAGATTGTTTTAATATCACTGCTGCTTAAGCAGGGGCACTGGCAAAACCCACTAGATGCCTTCTCTGCCTCTCCCATTCATATCTGTCATTATGGCAAGACTGCTAAAGTGCACTGACTGCTAAAGAGGGCAGTCTTAAGGAACAAAATCTGATTCAAAAGGAACCCTCTTAAATTCATCACTCTCAATATATTTAGCATTAATCCCTGCACACTTCCATTCATGAACAAGATGCCAAGCCAGGTGCTGAAAATCTGTTGTTATGGGGAGTGAATAGGTTTGCATGAAAGCTGTGTTTCAAATCCATTTTCAGTCCTAGCCAAATTGCTTCCCAGTCTCCTGTTTTGGTCAGTTTCTCTTGCAGTCCTCACCCTACTTTGGTTGCTTTGCTGTTCTGTTGGAGATTTTCCCTTTTCACACTTAACAGTACACAACCCAACAGCATCCCTTGGAAGAACATTTAACTCCTAAGCATCAAAAGACAAGAAAAGCATGATGACAAAGAAGCTGGAAGTGTAAAGATTACTAAATCCACCCTGGCACAAAGACATTTGCAGGCATCAAGGTTTTACAGTACCAAATATTTACATTTGAGCTGTGTGATCACTGTCAGGATATGGATGAGCACCAAAGGGACACCATCCCTTTGAAGGACTTCAACTGCTGGCAGAAGAGATGAAAAACCATCACCTTACCATGCTTGAAAACCCAAACTGCTGGGTTATGAGCAAATTTTATCTGGAAGGACTCAAAAGGGCTTTATAAGCTCATTGTTTAGAGAGGAATG